CTCGCTCCGCTGGCCCGCAGCGCTAAGGGTCGTGAGAAGAAGGGACCGTCCATCACCCGAGTCCCAAACCTGGGGGGGGAGAGGGACCCCGCTTGGCCCGCCCGATCCGGGCCTGGAGATGCTCACCGTGAAGCGGAAGGGAGGAGAAAGGGCGGTCAGCGAGAGGGGGTGGGTGGGGGGCTCTCCCAAAGGCGAGCCCGAGCGGCTAAAGCGGTGGACCTGGAACAAAGCAGGCAAAAAGGGACGCCTTTGTTATAGGCCACTTAAAAAAAAAACCAAAGCCGAGCTGGCCAACCCAAGGCCAGGCCAGCGCGGGGGTCAGCCCGGGGCCCTCTGCTGACCTCAAGGCAACCACGGAAGGGTCGCCCCCGCCTCGCCCTCGCTCTAGGTTGAAGGCCGTCCGGGTGCAAGAGCACCCCGTCGGTCGGCTGTCTTCCCCCCCCCGCGTTTTCTGGCCTGGTGAGGGTCGGACTCTGACGCCCCCCACACACACTTTTATTCCACTCTGGGGGCAACGTTGGACTTCCCAAATCCCAGAAGAAATAGGTGTGAGGCCGGCAAGGAAAGAAGGTCTGGTATGACTGGTGAAAATTAAAAGGGTGGGTGCGTGGTCAGCCTCTTCTTCCCATCCCAACACCTGGGTAACGGTGGTCTGGCAGCTGAGGAGTCCTCCTCTTGGACAAGAATAACCATCATAAAGGTTGCAGGAAAAATAGCTCATGTCATAGAAACAATGACCATGACGGGGATTTTGGTGACATGTCATTTTTTTTTTTTGGTGCAACCTGGGTCTGAACAAGGTTATGAGGCATCTGGTGAGAAAGGCCAGGTTACTCCTAAACATGTATTCTCTCCTGCCTCCGTCTGGTGACCGAGAAATCATGCTTGAACTTGTTCTTCGGTTTGAATGTGGGTTGCAGAGAAAATGTGAAATGCCTTGGAACTCCTCCTTCTAACAATTGAACAACAGAGCCAGAAGGGTCATTGAGTCACGATCAACTCCCTGTCAAGGAGGCTGGGGAAAGAGGGGATTCGAACTCCCACCTTAAACCACTGAGCTGTCCAGGAGTTCTCTTCCTCAAATTTTTTTTTGTCCCTCTAGAAGACCCTCTAAATCTTGATTGTGAGGGGGGTGGTTGTTCTCTTTATTCCTTTCGTCTCTACATGACCCCATGGCAAGCTGCTGCCTTCCCTTAGGGGTCCAGATGAGGTCCCTTTCCTAGCCAGCCCAGAGGCCCACCACAGTGCAGGATGCTATGTTTTGCTCATGCCCACTGGAAATAGCCCCCCCCCAAAAAAATGGAAAAGCTCCCAGTGGCTGCTGGTTTGAGCCTATTTCTGTCTTGCTCCACGTGAGACCACAGAACCCACGCAAAAGCTTTAAAATCATTAAAACTACAAAGATGACCAAAAAGTCAATAAAGGTCAAGCCGGCCAGGGGAGAGCCTTCCATAGCTGATAAAGGACCTGCTCCCAGTGACAAGGCATGGAGGGGGGGGGCTTTTAAGGGTTAGGCACGTAGGTATAGAAGGCGGCGCTCCCTCAAAAATCCAGTGTTAAATAATTAAACTTCTGTAGCAACTGCGACCCTCTGGACCTTTTTGGGCTGCTGTAGTCAGCAAGACAAATCAGCATCGCTGGCAGCCACATCTGGAAGGCCACAGTTGCCCACTCATGATGGCCGAGAACTGCAGTTCGGCCCCATTTGGTGTGGTGCCCACCCACATATTCCACAGAAACCACAGTTTCCTCTCCTGCCTCCTTCTGGTGACCAATTCTGCCCCCTCCCAGACGAGGAGGTGGGGTGGCGCTCCCTCTGAGGGAACCCCCGTGGTGCCCGTGGGAGATCCAAGCAGGGGGCCATGCCAAAACTTCATTCATGCCCATCTCTACTGCCCCCCCACCCTCTTTTGGGGTCCACTCCAATCCTTGGTGGCTTCGGCTTGTTAAACTGCTTCAGCAAACGTTCTCTGGCATCTTGGTCATAAAAGAAGCCAATATGGGCTAATTTATTGTCTGATCCATACATGGACATGATTATTCCCTCTCTCTCTCTTTCTCTCTCCCCTCACCTCCAAAGGGAAGGATTTTGGAGAACCTGCACATCTGCACACAACTCCAGTTTGTACGGTTTCTGAAAAACAGAAGGAGGCAGAGAAGAGACTCCACGCTCTTCTTCAAGGACGCGAAATTTAAACATGTGCCTGTTCGCATTTATCAGCCAAAGGTTCCCTCTGCCGGTCGAAGGAGGGGCATCGTTTATTTCCATGGTGGTTGGTGGGTGTTCGGAAGCATCCGTGAGTTACCTCCAAACTTGATCTGCATCATCCTCTGAGCCTGCAGTGTCTTGGTCCCTTTTGTTAGGGATCTCCTAATAATGAAAAACTACTTCTTCTTTTTTTAAATGAATGTTTTTAATGGTCAGTAATGGAGGTTTTCCCAGAAATTGTGGAGGAGAATTATGTGCAAACCATGAGGGCGTATTTTGGAATTGGGAGGGTCAGAATACAAGTTTTGAGATTGTTATGACTAATGCATCGATCCCTCCCAGTTTTCCTTTGCTATCAACAGCTGATCTGTCCTTAGCAGGCCTCCCTTCATCTCACTCCTCAGCCATCAAAGGAGGGGTGTGTGTCTCACGAGGGATAGAAGGAGGTGTGCACATCTCTCCTGAACTGGTTTAGGAGCCGTTCCTAAACAACATTCATTTAGTCCTAAGGACCAAATAATTTTTAAAAGAAAAGGCTTAACATCCAGGGAGATGCTGAATCCTGTTTTCCAATCCCGACAATTGGCCCTTATGTAGAACCAACAAGTGTACACATACGACTTGGACCTGGGTTGATTCAGACCCGTTGCGCAGATTTTGCACAATCAGTTACAGGCTCTTCTGCAGTACTGATACTCAAAGGTACTCATACACAAACCCCAAAGCCAGCTCTCTGAAATTGTTGCAGAAGTGCTCCGTACTTTAGGATCTGACCTGCCAGTCATGCAAAAGCAAGCACAGACGAAAGAGATGCCTGCTTTGCTTATATTTCCAATGTAAGTCAACGGGAGCATTTGAAATTGTGTTAGAGAAGGGGTCCAAATCAGGCTGGGATACTTTTCAAGGCCCAGAATCAGCTTCCAGAACAATTCAGGAAATCCAAACTCCGTCTCAACTGCAAGCCGCCGCTGGTGCTTTTTATCAGAAGTCTGGACTCCATTTTTTTCCTGCAGATTCCCCGTTCTGAGAAATCTAATGTTTCATTAATGAAACAACAAGCTTCTAGTCCTCAGGGGAGGAAAATCAAACAGGGAGGAGCAAACCTCTTCCAGCAGGGTTGGGTTTCAAAATTTGGCCCCCTTGCTGGAAATCACACCATATTTATTTTGTTTTATTAATTTTTTTTCACTCTGCCTGTCTGGTGGCATGCCACTACTCTGGGTAGCTTACACAGATGAAAACATTTAAAAGCCCAGCCAGGCAGATATAATTGAAAGGAAATAATCTCAGTGCACCCACGTCCACAGCAAGAGCAATCAAAAGAGCAATTAAAAATAAACGACATAATACCCAAGTATGCAGGGAGAGTCTACAGAAAAAAATGTCCTCTGAAGAAGGTGGGTTTGGGCTGGGTTTCTAAAGGCTCAGATGGAAGGGCCCTGCCATTTCTCCTGTATCTTCCTATTGTTCTTGAAGAGTGATCCATCATCCTTCACACCATCATATTCACAGGTTAGGATTAATGTCTTGGGGAGCAGGCAGACGATGGCATCTTCATCCAGAAATGGTGAACATGTTGGCGTGCTCAGGTTACTGACCGCGAGAATTTTTTATTTATTTGTTTCTGTTCTTACATTTGTCAGTCAACTCAGTTTTTATTTCAAATAACCCTTCTTTTTTCCCCCTCGATGAAGGGGTGTGTGTGATATTTTGGAAGTGGAACAAAGGAGATAAGTGAAAGTGTGTTCATTTTTCTTCCTCCCGCCAAAGAAATATTTCAAATAAACATTTCTAGGGAGACAGGCTTTTTCATTTTATTAACCTTTTCATTCTGACTTGTTTGGACTTAAAGTTCCATGCATATTGAATGTCTGTTTCTCAATTAATGGTTGCTTTGAGGAAAGAGGTACAGCATGTAATAAGATTGTAGAGAGACACCATGCGTTGCGTGTTGTCCCTTGTACCCCTGAAAACAACTTTGGAAATATTTGCCTTTCAGGAACTCACGACAATATCTGCCAGTACCTTGCCAGAGAAAGTGAATCGGTGGTTGTGTCTGTCGAGTAAGTCCTCCCAATTTTTTTTTCAGCCTTTGGTGACTGCTTATTTTTCAGCTCCCTGACCGTTTCCGCTTGGTAAAACACTGAGAAACAGCAGATGGGCCTCCTCCTTATTTCACACTGTGGGTCCCTCGTGACCAGTGTGGGGTGGGGGTTCCCCCATCCTGTTCCACAAGCTTTTCTCTTCTTTAAATATATGCACCAAAATCTGTTTTTCTATCAAAGCATACATTTTAAGCAGTTAAGGAACCTCTTCCTGGATGGAACAGCGGGTAGCATCATTTGGTCTACAAAGACCTTCCGATTCCAGGATTCAAACATTCGTTGGACAAAATGATTGCTTGTGTGACCTCGCCTTTTCGCCTTCTGCCAAACAGGGCACGGTTCAAATCCTTGCGGGCAAGAACCCTGTAATCTTTTTCTCTCTTTTCTGACGTTCATAAAATGCCTTTATACCATGACTTTAGAGGAGGAATGGAGAGAATATAGTTCCAATTTATTATTTGGTACACATTTTTCCAAAATCCGCAAAGATTCCGAAAAGAAAGGGCGTGCCGGTTAGCGCCGAAAATGGGCCACTGCTTCTTTTTTTTAATGGGAGATGCCTAAGTCAATATTCTGTTGCCTCAACACAGAGCAGAAAGGCCACAGCGCCGACCTCACCACCGCTTTTCTGGCAGGCTCTCAGGGGTTGCAAGATCGGTCACGCCACCAGTCATGCAACGGGAAGCCCGCCAGGCTGGGAAGGATGCTCATGCGGTTGCCCCTTCTTTCCGTGTTAAGGCAACAGGACGCTGGTCCTCAATTTTAAGACAGAGAGGGTGAACGAGGCAGAACGCATTCCCCTCCATGTTGGGAAGAGCAGCACCAGTTGGATTTGACAGGTTGGCGAAAAGTTTGCTTTGGATGAGTTTGCCGAAATTCAAGAATAACATATTTGAAACAAAGGAACCTTTTAAAAAAAAGCATCAGGAACACTTTCCCATCCCCCTAACTCAACGAGCAATTCAAGTTGATTTTGTGTCTAATTTCCACTGGCGAATTTTTATTCTTTTTCCTTTAGGTACCGCTTGGCTCCCGAGCACACCTATCCAGCGCCGCTGAACGACTGCCTTGCCGCTGCCAGCCACTTCCTCGAGGCTGCCGAGGAGTACGGCGTGGACAAGACGCGGATTGTCGTGGCTGGGGACAGCGCTGGTGGCAACCTCGCCGCCTCCGTTTGCCAGGCCCTGGCCAGTAAACCGGGCCTTGTGAAAGTGCGGGCTCAGATCCTCATCTACCCACTGCTCCAGGGCGTAGACTTCAACTTGCCTTCCTATCAGCAAAACCAGGCAGTGCCCTTCTCGTTCCGCGCACGGACTGTTTTCTTCTGTCTGCAGTACTTGAATGGAGACCCTTCACCCCTGGAAGAGGTCTTGAAGGGTTCTCATGTCCCTGTCCATCTCAAGTTGCACTACAAGAGGTGGCTGAGTGCAGACCACATCCCCAGAGAGTTTAAGGCCAGAGGCTATGCCCCTTCCGCGCCCGCCACCTGCAAGGACGATGTCTACGAGGCCGTCAAGAGCCTGAGCACACCAGAATTCTCGCCACTTCTGGCTGAAGACGCCGTCATCCGCCTGCTCCCCGAGACCTTCATCCTCACCTGTGAATACGACGGCCTGAGAGATGACGGGTTGCTCTACAAGAAACGGCTGGAAGATCAAGGCATCAGAGTGGTTTGGTGCCACCTTGCGCATGGATTCCATGGAATTATCAGCCTTTTTGATGGATTTCCATCTGGGAAGAAAGGATTGGAAGACATTGTCACCTTCGTTAAAAGTCTGTAAGAGCTCTTGCTGAAAGCTGACCTTTTTCTTTACAGTAAGAAGTAGAAAACATAAAAGTTTGTGTTGCCGCTGATGGATGGGATGTGGCCAAGTTATTTTGTGTCCTTTGACTTCCAGTGGCAACACAGTTTCCTTTGGTTGTTGTTGTTGCATAGCGGGCGGGGGGGGGGGAGCATCCTTGCCAAACCATTTATAAATACTATAAAAGCTTTGATACTTCTTCCAGGGAATCAAAAGAAATGTGCCGTTTGTTTTTTTGTTTATTTCTCTCTCTTTTTCCGACTAGAAATTTTTTTCCCATTCTGAAAGCTGCACCAGATAAACAGACAGACACTTTGTTGTTATTGTGTCCTGTCAAGTCACTTCCAGCTCGTGGCTTTCATCCAGCACCATATTTCAAACAAATCTTTTTTTTTCTGTCCACTTTCTTAACTGTCCAGCTCTTACACCCATACATGATGAACAGGAATTTAAGAGTGTGGACGGTCTTGCTCTCCACTGACACATCCTTTCACTTACTTGATGGTTTCTCTCATTCCTTCATTGGTGCCCTTCTTGATCTCTTCTCCTGCTTTCTTGGCTACAATCTCCATTTTGGATTAATGATTGAACCAAGGTATGCAAAGCATTTCACTATTTCTTTGTCAACATTTAAGTTGTGCGATTCTTCCATAGTCATGATTTTTGTCGTCTTAATGTTCAGCGGCAATCCTGCTTTGGCGCTGTCTTCTCTCGCGTTCACTAAAAGCATCATTGCTGCTTTCTGCCAATAAGATCATGTCATCTGCATATCATAAATTCTTGATGTTTCTTCCACCAATTTTCACTCCTCCTTCATCTGAATCTAGTTTGACTTTCTGTATGATATGCAGAAAACCAGATGAGATTCAGAACATGATATGTTTTGCATTCAGATTGAACAGAGAGGGAGATAAAATTCACCCCCGTCTGATACCTTTGCCTGGAGGGAACCATTCCTGATCCAGACGGTCGCTTCTTGTCCTCCAAACGGGTTATGCATGGGGACAATCAAGTGCCAAGGCAGCCCGTTTCTTTCGGAATAGCCCTTAAATTTCTCATGATCTACACAAAGTTTATAGTGCATAGACTGGTCATCTTCTAAAATGGTATGTTGTGGTCCAGAAGCCGCTGGATATTCACAGTACGATATGAGTGCTGCTTCCTTTTCAGACTCTTAACACCATGCATTTCTCGCTCAGAAACTGATTCATTTGACATGCAGTGCCGGATGAGAAATTTGTAGCTGCCAGAAAGACAAACAAATAGCTCCTAGATCAAATTCAGTCTGAACTTTCTCTGGAGGCCAAAATGTGGAAACTGAGGCTGTCCTGCTTTGGGCACCATGAGAGAGCAAGATTCTCTGGAAAAGACAATAAGGCTGGGAAAGGTTGAACTCAGCAAGAAAAGAGGAAGACCCAAGATTAAATGGATTGACTCCCTACAGGAAGGCACAGTCTTGATTTTCAAAAAGCTGAGCAGGGCTGCTGAGGACAGGGCATTTTTGAGAGATTGCTCATCCACAGGGTCATCATAAGATGGCAAAGAACAGCAAAGTCCCTTCAGAGCAGCTTTCTCTTTCCTTTCTGGAATTCCAGGTTTCTCCTAGTCGGAGAGTGTGTGCTTCCCTGTTGGTCATTCAGCATTTTTAATTAAGGATTATTTTTTCCTTTAATTCCTTGGGTCTTCTGGAAGAGACCTCCCCCCCTTTTTTGTTAGTTTCCTCTCTTTCTATGCACTCACTGGTTGTTGTGATTGTTCTCTTTGCTTCTACGTGACAGTTGCTGAAAAAACTGCATTCAGGCTTCTGACCCTACTTCTGTCCCCTTTTACTCTTGCAACAGATTGGATTTGTCTTCAGTGTGGAAGAGATTGCCACTCTCGAATTGGCTTCTTCAGCCACACTAGACGCTGTTCCAAGTCCTCCATACAGAGCATGACACCATAGTCTTTCGAGACTGAAGGATGCCTATCATCGTCTGTCCTTTAAAAATTTAAGTGTCTCTTCTATCATCCATCTTGGCTTTGCTTTTCTTTTTACTACAGGGATTGTCTTTTTTGCACTCTTCTCTAATCATAGCTTTCATTTCACTCCACAGTTCTTCTGCTTCACGATCAGCTGAGTTTAGCAACACAAATCTGGTCCTTATCATGAGGTTTTCGTATTAAGGAAAATGTCTGCAGAGTTATCTTGAGGGTCGCAGCCTTTGCCTCCTTCGCCAGTGTCATCTTCAGCTAACATTGCCACCCCATACGAGCTGCATTGAGGAGGGTGGGCGAATCTGAGTCTGGTGTCTCAGCCTGAGGCTGTTCTGCTTCAAATTACAGTGGTGCCTCGCTAGACGATGATAATCCGTTCCACTGAAATCGCTGTTTAGCGAAATCATTGTCTCACGAAAAGCATTTCCCCATTGGAATGCATTAAAACCTGTATAATGAGTTCCAATGGGGAAGAATCATCGTCTAGCGAAGTTCGGCCATAGGAAAACCGCTTTGCGAACCGCCGGTCAGCTGTTTAAATCCCTGTCTTGCGAAGCTTAGGTCCCGAAAACACCTGTTTGCGAGCGCGGAGGGAGCTGTCAAAATTGTCGCCTAGCGAAAATTGGTTTGCGAAGCAGGGACCAAACATTGTCCAGCGAAATTCCCCCATAGGAATCACTGTTTTGAGAATCGCTATAGCGATCGCAAAAAGCCAATGTCTAGCAAAAAAAACTGTCATGCGGGGTAACTGTCTAGCAAGGCACCACTGTACCTGTTAAGGGTTTCGGCTCGTAACAGAATCTGGCCTCCTGATGACACTGCGCTCAGCGCCATATGGCCACACACGACCTCCTTCACCCCATTAAAGTGTGCATCCCAAAAGAGGAGAAAGATCCCTACAATCACCTAAATGTGGCCCATCTTGGAGAAAGACTAAGCTGGAAGACTTCATGGCCAACACAGGCCGAACTCTGTCGAGCTTTGCTAGCGCAGTGGTTAAACCACATTGCTGCAACCAAGTTCAACCCCAGGTCGTTGGCTTAAGCTTGACTCAGCCATCCAGCCTTCCACGTTGGTCTTAGCTCACCAAAGGCGGGAGGGTGGGTGTGTTGACAGCAAGAACTCAAGAATCAGTCCTGGAGTAGAAACAGGCTCACAAACACCCGACAATCCTCCCTACTCAGTTTTAGGGAGGATGCTTGTCTCTTCCAGGCAAGCCAAGATAAGGAGTTGCTACATATTTCTTGGTAGAACGTTTCCTCAACCTTCAATGATGTTCTCCCAGCAGAAAGAATGATATATTGAGAAGGTGCTTCCTCTCATACAACATTGTTTTTGTGTAAAATTATGGAAAATAAACTTGCAAATGACACTCAGCAGACTGATCAGGAGATAGCTTTCGAAACTGCTTTTATCACTTTCTTCATATAAGGGAAAGAAGCAAAATCCGGAGCTGGAGTCCCAAAGGCAGTGCGTATCATTCTGCCAACTCCTGCGACGTTGCTGGAACCAGTTGTATTGGCTCTCGCCTTTCCCTTGGACCATTTCAGCAACATGGAGAGGGGGGATCTGCTGCTTGGGTAACAACCTATCCTCCATATTACTTTACCCAGGCTTCATGCTCTGGAGAGGACACTCCTCGATTCAGAGCATGTTACCATAGTCTCTCGAGACTGAAGGATGCCTATGCTATGCTACGGTGGTATCCCAAGCTTCTGTAGAATCAACACATGGAAACGAAACTGCCAGCCAAGCTCCTCCCCTCAGTCTAATATTAAAATGTTATGAGCTGTAAGATGTGTGTTTGTGTGTGTGTGTTTAGTCGTTTAGTCGTGTCCGACTCTTCGTGACCCCATGGACCAGAGCACGCCAGGCCCTCCTGTCTTCTACTGCCTCCCGGAGTTGTGTCAGGTTCATGTTGGTTGCTTCGCAGACACTGTCCAGCCATCTCATCCTCGGTCGTCCCCTTCTCCTCTTGCCATCACACCTTCCTAACATCAAGGTTTTTTCCAAGGACTCTTTTCTTCTCATGAGATGGCCAAAGTACTGGAGCCTCAGCTTCAGGATCTGTCCTTCAAGTGAGCATTCAGGGTTGATTTCCTTTAGAACTGATAGGTTTGTTCTCCTTGCAGTCCAGGGGATTCTCAAGAGCCTCCTCCAGCACCACAATTCAAAGGCATCAATTCTTCGGCGGTCTGCTTTCTTTATGGTCCAGCTCTCACTTCCATACATCACAACAGGAAAAACCATAGCTTTGACTATTCGGACTTTTGTTGGCAAGGTGATGTCTCTGCTTTTCAAGATGCTGTCAAGATTTGTCATCGCTTTCCTCCCAAGAAGAAGGCGCCTTTTAATTTCAGGGCTGCTGACTCCATCTGCAGTGATCATGGAGCGAGTGGTATCATCTGCATATCGGAGGTTGTTGATATTTCTTCCGGCAATCTTAATTCCGGCTTGGGTTTCTTCCAGTCCAGCCTTCCGCATGATGTATTCTGCATATAAGTTAAATAAGCTGGGGGACAATATACAGCCTTGCCGTACTCCTTTCCCAATTTTGAACCACTCAGTTGTTCCATGACCAGTTCTAACTGTTGCTTCCTGTCCCACATATAGGTTTCTCAGGAGATGGATAAGGTGGTCAGGCACTCCCATTTCTTTAAGAACTTGCCATAGTTTGCTGTGGTCCACACAGTCAAAGGCTTTTGCATAGTCAATGAAGCAGAAGTAGATATTTTTCTGGAACTCTCTGGCTTTCTCCATAATCCAGCGCAAGTTAGCAATTTGGTCTCGAGTTCCTCTGCCTCTTCGGAATCCAGCTTGTACTTCTGGGAGTTCTCGGTCCACATACTGCTGAAGCCTACCTTGTAGGATTTTGAGCATAACCTTGCTAGCGTGTGAAATGAGTGCAATTGTACGGTAGTTGGAGCATTCTTTGGCACTGCCTTTCTTTGGGATTGGGATGTAGACTGATCTTTTCCAATCCTCTGGCCACTGTTGAGTTTTCCAAACTTGCTGGCATATTGAATGTAGCACCTTAACAGCATCATCTTTCAAGATTTTAAATAGTTCAATTGGAATGCCATCACCTCCACTGGCCTTGTTGTTAGCCAGGCTTTCTAAGGCCCACTTGACTTCGCTCTCCAGGATGTCTGGCTCAAGGTCAGCAACTACATTGTCTGGGTTGTCCGGGATATCCACATCTTTCTGATATAATTCCTCTGTGTATTCTTGCCACCTCTTCTTGACGTCTTCTGCTTCTGTTAGGTCCTTCCCATTTTTGTCTTTTATCATGTTCATCTTTGCGCAAAATGTTCCTCTAATATCTCCAATTTTCCTGAAGAGCTCTCTGGTCTTTCCTTTTCTGTTATCTTCCTCTATTTCTTTGCATTGTTCATTTAAGAAGGCCCTCTTGTCTCTCCTTGCTATTCTTTGGAAGTCTGCATTCAATTTTCTGTAACTTTCCCTATCTCCCTTGCATTTTGCTTCCCTTCTCCTCTCTGCTATTTCTAAGGCCTCGTTGGACAGCCACTTTGCTTTCTTGCATTTCCTTTTCTTTGGGATGGTTTTCGTTGCTGCCTCTTGGACAATGTTACGAGCCTCTATCCAAAGTTCTTCAGGCACTCTGTCCACCAAATCTAGTTCCTTAAATCTGTTCTTTACTTCCACTGTGTATTCATAAGGGATTTGGTTTAGATTATACCTGAGTGGCCCAGTGGTTTTTCCTACTCTCTTCAGTCTAAGCTTGAATTTTGCTATGAGAAGCTGATGATCAGAGCCGCAGTCAGCTCCAGGTCTTGTTTTTGCTGACTGTATAGAGCTTCTCCATCTTTGGCTGCAGAGAATATAATCAATCTGATTTCGATATTGCCCATCTGGTGATTTCCATGTGTAGAGTCGCCTCTTGTGTTGTTGGAAAAGAGTGTTTGTGATGACCAGCTTATTCTCTTGACAAAACTCTATTAGCCTTTGTCCTGCTTCGTTCTGAACTCCAAGGCCAAACTTCCCTGTTGTTCCTTTTATCTCTTGGCTCCCTACTTTAGCATTCCAGTCCCCTAGAATGAGAAGAACATCTTTCTTTGGTGTCAGTTCTAGAAGGTGTTGTAAATCTTCATAGAATTGTTCAATTTCAGTCTCCTCAGCAATGCTGGTTGGTGCATAAACTTGGATTATTGTGATGTTGAATGGTCTGCCTTGGATTCGTATTGACATCATTCTATCATTTTTGAGATTGTATCCCATTACAGCTTTTCCCACTCTTTTGTTGACTATGAGGGCTACTCCATTCCTTCTACGGGATTCTTGCCCACAGTAGTAGATATGATAATCATCTGAGCTGAATTCGCCCATTCCTGTCCATTTTAGTTCACTGATGCCCAGGATGTCGATGTTTATTCTTGCCATCTCCTGTTTGACCACCTCCAGCTTCCCAATGTTCATAGATCTTACATTCCAGGTTCCTATGCAGTATTTTTCTTTGCAGCATTGGATTTTCCTTTCACTTCCAGGCACGTCCACAGCTGAGCGTCCTTTCGGCTTTGGCCCAACCACTTCATTAGCTCTGGAGCTACTTGTACTTGTCCTCCGCTCTTCCTCAGTAGCATGTTGGACGCCTTCCGACCTGAGGGGCCCATCTTCCAGCGTCATATCTTTTAGCCTTTTGTTTCTGATCATGGGGCGTTCTTGGCAAAGATACTGGAGTGGCTTGCCATTTCCTACTCCAGGTGGATTGCGTTTAGTCGGAACTCTCCACTATGTCCTGTCCGTCTTGGGTGTCCCTGCACGGCATAGCCCATAGCTTCTCTGAGTTACTCAAGCCCCTTCGCCACGACAAGGCAGCAATCCATGAGGGGTCCCAGCTGTAAGATGGGACTCGTGATCCTCCCACGAGTGACCCTTACGTTTTCTGCCGTTGTCGTTTGACTGAACTTAGTGCTAGGCTCTGTAAATTGGCCTTGGCGCTACTGGAAGTGGGATATAAATCGAAGAAAACAAACAGTACTGCATCTATTTGCTAGGACCATAGTGGTGGTCCATAGTGGTCTAGAATGTGGAGACAAAATGAACCCAAATCTCTTACGAAATCAGACTTCGCTCACCGCTGTGAGCAAAGCCGGGTTCTGTTTCCATTCGTTAGCAAGCCTTTCGTTGATTTCAGTGGGATAATAGCATGGATTTCGCCCAGATAGAATGCCTTGTTGCCTAGAGGGTTGCTACGGGGATGACGAACAACAGAGAACCTGAGCCCACAGAACGTCCGAGGTCAAATTCTCTTGCTCTGAACAGAACACGCACGCACACAAACGCACGCACACTCGCACACAGATTGAAGGATGTGAAAAAGAGCCATGTTTACGTCATGCCGGGATGTGCAGGAATGGTACCTTCCCAGCTGGAGAGTAGAACCCAAATATTCTACTAAAGTGCTTGTTGGAAACTGGCTGGAAGAAAGGAAAAAGGTAAGTTTGGGGAAGAAAGTAGAAGCCGACGGAAAGGCCCAGCCAGTGGAGAACCGGTAAGTAAACAACGGTCCAATGAAGAGGACCCTAATCCTGCAAATATTTTGGGTTACATTTCAAAATGCTGGTGTGCTGACAAAGCAAGGGCGGGCAAACAGTAGCCAGCAGACCATCCTAAAGAACATTTTCTGGTCCTCCGGCCACCTACAGAGCTCCTGTTTCCTCCCCGAGGAGCCCTCGGGAAGACGTTTCTGTGGAGTGGCAAGGGAGTGCGTTTAGATTTGTGGTGGCTTCCAGGAAGAGTGGCTCTCGCATGAAACAGACCAGAGATCTACCCCAAGTCAATATCACCACAACACACACACACACACAGCCCCCCCCCCAAACAAAGCAAAACTAGGCATAGACTTTCAGCCATTTTCTGTGTTGCTTTGCTTTACTCAGAAAAATTCCTTTTGACATTTTGAGACCTGATGTTAGACCCCCACCAGCACTAGAGGGAAGTATGCATTCCCCCCCGACTCACAACAAACACTGACATTTCCCCACCTCTGTGTGTGTGTGTCTGTGTCTGTGTCTGTGTCTGGATCTGGAGCTCAGGGGAAGCGCTTTTGCTATGAAGGCCAACGGTCCCCGGTTCAGTCGCTGGTGTCACTTCAGAGAGGCCTTTACCCCAAACCTTGGGAGCCGGTCAATACAGAGTACAGTCAACTGGACGGAAGGGTGCTCTGAACTGGTAGAATCGACCATCTGTCCGACTTTCCCTTCTGCCTTGCAATTTTCTTTGGAAACCTCCGAATCTGTGATTAGTGGCTTCAGAAGCAGACTAAAACTAAATCTGCATTTGTCTTCACTCTCCACGTGCCCCGTCGGCCCCGTCAATCCGAGCACGGACTCGTAGATTGAACCAGAAAGCTGCAAAGATGGAAGGGGCACTCAAGCGTCATCCAACCCTACCCCCTGCCAATCCATAACTAAAGCATTCTGGATGGATGGCTCTCCAACCTTAGTTTAAAATCCTCTTAAGAAAGCCACCAACTGGTGGACATGGTCCATTCGGCTGTACTGAAGGGAGTCCTGTCATACCTGAAGCTAATCAGAGAAAAAAGAAAGAAAAGGAGAAATCCTCTTCCTGATTATGGCAACCCTTTACAGGACTTTCCAGGTATGGAGAACTCAGAAGTGGTTTTCCGGTCCCTTCTTTTTTTGGGGTGTGTGTGTGTGATCTGCGGCCATACAGCTTTCCCCCAACCACACAGGCTGGCTCTTCTCCAGAGAGGCCCGGCGAGGAATCAAACTTGGACAATTAACCCGCTTGAGGATGGGGGAGAATGAAAAAAATTTATTAATCCGAAAATCACAAAATTTACTCCAAGTACAATAGCATTAGCCAGCAACCTGTTAAGCAGAAGTATACTTTTAAACGACATGTGAAACAAAATACTGTGGGGGTTGATCACACACACCCCTCTATGAGATGCTGTTATGCACAGATACACACCTGTCCATACACACCGCTTCTAGAAAAAAAAATGCTACATCATAGAATAAATGAGGTTGGAAGGGGCCTATAAGGCCACCGATTCCAAGTATGCCAAAAATGTTTCAAGAAAGAATGAGAACAAACAATGTTTTGAAAGTGATGGAACACCCAGAGCTGGACTGCTACGGACGGTATCTGCATGGCAGAGTTCGGGTGGCTTGACCCCACTTTTAACTCCCATGGGTCTGGTGTAGGGAAACCTAGGACTGTAATTTGGGACCTAGATTTCTCTGTTGCAATACTGAGCCGAGTGCCCCAGGTCTCCAGCAGAGGAGACCGAGGCCCTCACGACATTCCAGATCCTCAGGTTCTGAAGGATAAGAGCGGTGACCAGTATAACTGGGTTGGGTAGATGGGCCTGCTCCAAAACACAACACTGGCATACTTAAGTCCATGGGGGAGCGACCGAGGGCAAACCAGGTACCTCTTTGGGAAAATGCACAAATATCTTAAAAATATGGGAAAAGGGGCTGGGGATGGAGTTTGCCCCACAGGAAACAACCCATAATTGGCACAGACTGGACAATGTCGGTGGTGGGTCAGAGAGGAATATCACAGAAAGGCATATGTCCACAGCGACCATGCCGAGGAGTAGAATAGTCATTTGCTCTTTCCTCCTCAGTATGTCCACGATCCAGGTTTGTGTCCCAGTGAGTGACTTGACATTTCTTTGGCTTGCCTTAGTTTACAAGAGATGCCGGGGGAACGGGCCAAAGTACCTACGGGCGAGACTTTGTTCGTTACCCAACGGAGGTCCCAGACCGAGTGGTGTTGAGGAGAATGAAGAGGCAGCTGGATGTGAGTAAGATGGTGGACCGTCGATGATGCTGACAGGGAGGCAGATTCAAGTGGGCGATGCAAGTGTTCAAAGCCCTACTGCAGCCATTTCCCAGAGAGAATCGGTCGTTATTCAGGCTTTCAAAAAAAGGGGTAGATTCAAAGCCTGCTCTTCTCCCTTTGGGAGAGGGAACATGTGAGAGGAAAGCTTCTGGTGACACTTGGGATCTCTGCCCCTAGCAGGGAATCCAGAAGAGCCAGCGTTCCTCGAGGCCCTGGCCTTTGTCCCAAAAGAATTACAGTGGTGCCTCGCTAGACAGTTACCCTGCATGACAGTTTTTTCGCTAGACATTGACTTTTTGCGATCGCTATAGCAATTTGCAAAAAAGTGGTTCCTATGGGGGAATTTCGCTGGACAATATTTGGTCCCTGCTTCGCAAACTGATTTTCTCTAGACAACGATTGTGACAGCTCCCTCAGCGCTTGCAAAATGGGTGTTTTCGGGACCTAAGCCTCGCAAGACAGCTATTTAAACAGCTGATCAGCGGTTTGCAAAGCGACTTTCCTATGGCCGATCTTCACTAGACAATGACAATTCCTCCCCATTGGAATGCATTAAACAGGTTTCAGTGCATTCCAATAGGGAAATGCTTTTTGCGAGACAATGATTTCGCTAAACAGCTATTTCAGTGGAATGGATTATCATCGTTTAGCGAGGCACCACCGTAAGTCTATAATGAATCAGAGGAATAGGTTGCACCTTGTGCAATTTACTCCCTTCTTCCGAATATCTTTCTACTCTTTTGCCCCATGCAAGAGAAACAGAAGGTTCAAGGGCATCTCTATTTTTTCACCTGTTTATTGAAAGGCACATGCAAGTGGATGTATGTCTGTTATACTATTTTCTATCTCTTGAATATCCAAAAACTGTAACTACAAAACTTAATATAATGTTTGAGGAATGCAACTAGGAGAACTCAATAATTAAATGGGAGCTATAAGTAAGTACCCCGATATGGTGCTTCAAAATGAAGTGAGACCTTAACTAAAGTGTTACAAATACTTAATAATTAAAACATGCACAGTTAGGAAAAATTAATTCTCTGTTAAGTCACATCTATGTATTTCAACAGACGATGTAATTAATGAACTAAAGCACAAACAATTAGAGAATCACATCAGTACATAGTAAAAAATGTCTTAAACTGGGTCCTGTGTGTGGCCCCCAGACAGACAACAGATGGCCAACTGATGCTGCAGACATTGCCTGTCATGTTCTCCTGCCTTTCTCTAGAATCACCACAGAACTGTCCTCTCATCCCATCTGCTTATACTGAGTTCAGGCAGAAGAAATGTCAACATTAAAAGTCAACATGTTACATTCTAGGGTCTACCAAAGAAGTATATATTGAGCCATCATGAAGAAGCAAAGCATCAACACTTAGTAACACAATATGATGATCAATACAATAGACATGGCTACAACTCTTCCTTGCCTCCACTTCGCAAGTGGAATGGACACAAAATGGCCTGGATCCCAGAGAAATCAGATCACCCACTTCTAGGTATGTGTCTGTGTTGGGAGATTTATTTTGGTCATTCCCTTTTAGTTAGCAGAGTAAGCATGGAGAGATTAGCCCAGTCTCATCATTAACTCCTCCACCAATAGAAAGGCTGACACTTTGTTGGTATAAAATCACTTTAGAAACACTTAAAGTAGAAAAGAAGGTATCTTTATTTACAGTTGCCATCTATAGTTACAATCAGAAGGATAACAAGAAAAACTGAGGACAGATGACTCTCAACCATGTGGGAGAGAGACTCTCCATGCTGTCCACGTGGTTGGAGATCAGGAGCAGAGAGAGACTTTAAAAAGGATGTGAAGCAAACAAACAGGAAGAGAGGAGGTGGAAACACAAGGTCAGAAAAAGAGCTCTAGTAATAGGTTAGTAGAAAGGAGAAAATCTCTTTAGGCCCTAAAAGCCTTCTTCCCACTCATATCCAGTGTTACAGAACATGCAAGATTGTTACTATCTCGATAGCCTGCACATTGGGAAAAAAGAGGCATGGTGACCTAGAGGTGGAACAATAAGAAGCAAAGCAGATATTCATTATCATGCATGTCTGCTTTCTTAAGGTTCCTTCTAACTCTGTAACTCTTCTACTAAAGGAAGATCTATCACTGCCATTTCTTTTCCAGGAGAGACCTTAGAATTCAAAGCAACACTTTATCTCAGGAACATCATCCTTGGAAAATGTACTTTCACTGCATTTTCCCCTATTCATAATACTATTTTTAAAATTCAGCTCATATTTAATTTAATTTAATTTAGGTACCACCCTATTAGTGCAAGGCACTATTCTGCGTAGTTAACATAAAATGTAATCCAACAAACAACTGAGACAAAGGAAGCAACTGTAAAAATAATACAAAAAAATAAAAAATCAGAACTATCATAAATCTCTAGCAGTGCAGCATTTGCATAATAAATAAGACATGTTAAAACATTGAGCACAGGGCAAGGAAAATTCACCAGAGGTTGCTATCAAGGGCATCAACGAAGCACTGTGTCTTCAGCAGCTTCTTAACATGGGCAGGGAGGGGGCCAGACACATCTTAACCGGGAGCTGGTTCTAGAAAACTGGGGCCACCACCGAGAAGGCTGGGCTTCTAGTAGATGTTTTCCTGGCTTCCTTCATCGTGGCCACCCAGAGGAGCCTTGCCCGGGAGGATCTGTTGGTGTGCGCAGATTATCTTGGGGAAGGACACTCGGACAAGTAACAGGAGCCCAAACCCTGGAGGGCTTTATCAATGAGCACCAGACTCTTGAACTTGACCCAAGATGTCACCAGAAGCCAATGCAGGTGAACGAAACTTGAGAGATATGAACGAATTTACGCTAACCACCAGCCTGGCAGTTGCATTCTGAACCCGCTGAGGTCAAATTCAGGGAAGCCCCATGTAGGGAGTATTACAGTAATCCACCCCAGAGACCACCAGTGCATGCAACAGTGGCCTGAGATTCATCTCCCCTCATATAAAAGTCCCCCCCCCAGATTAAAGTGTTCTTATTTCCTTAGTTGTCTTTCTGACAGAAAGCATTCATTTCTATTTGTTTTTATATCCGTTGTTCGTCTGACCAGGTTTCGTTCTAGGCCTGAAAGTTGTAAAGCGAACACTCTGCAGACATATTGGGGAATTACAGCACACGGCAGTAGGTGCCCACACTTCGCTTAGAAGACGAGCACGCCCCTGTGAACGACTAGATAATCCTCACGGATAAGATTCTCTTATAATAAAATAAAATAAATAATAGTAGAGATGGGTACGAACCAGAAAAAAAGGGCAGTTCGTGGGGGTTCGTGGCGACCCACAAACCACAAACTTTCTGAACTAAAAAAAAAGAACCTCAACCTGGTTCAGTTTTTTTAAAAAAGTTCATGCCTGAGGGTGGGACGTGGTGGCGCTGTGGGCTAAACCGCAGAAGCCTGTGCTGCAGGGTCAGAAGACCAGCAGTCGTAAGATCGAATCCACACGATGGAGTGAGCGTCTGTCGCTTGTCCCAGCCCCCGCCAACCTAGCGGTTCGAAAGCATGCAAATGCAAGTAGATAAATAGGGACCACCTCGGTGGGAAGGTAACAGCGTTCCGTGTCTAAGTCGCACTGGCCATGTGACCACGGAAGATTGTCTTTGGACAAACGCTGGCTCTATGGCTTGGAAACGGGGATGAGCACCGCCCCCTAGAGTCGAACACAACTGGACAAAAATTGTCAAGGGGAACCTTTACCATTTTACCTCATGCCTGAGGGGAAACTAAACCCCCCACCCCCTCTGCCACTGCCAGCCTCCTTCCCAGTGTCCCGGTTGTTCCTTGGCAGGTCCTCCCACCTCTGCTGCCTCCTCCATCAGCATTCGAGCGGCAAGCAGAAGCAAATGGGCCGTCCTCATGGAGCAGCGGCTGGCCCCACCGCTTATGGGGAACTTGGGTCCCAGCTGATCTCCCTGGTGCCTGCCCGGAGACTGGAAGGGGAGTCACGCAGCAGTCTCTGAAGAGGCTGGCAGTGGTGGCGAAGGTGGCCGCACCCAGTAGGGAGGCGATGGGGGCAGTGGGAGGCAGCAGGGTGTGAGGGCAGTGGGAATGGACCAGGAATCGCTTTAAAAGTGCCTTGATTTGTTTCGTTTCGTTTTGTCACCTTTAATGAACCCAAACCAATGAACCAGCAATTTTGTGGTCAAACTTCCTGGTTCGCTTCTTGGTTCGTGCCCATCTCTATCCTGCAGCGCAATGGCAAAGTAAAGGTTAAGGGTTCCCCTTGACATTGAGTCCAGTCGTGTCCGACTCTAAGGGGCGGTGCTCATCCCCGCCTCCAAGCCGTAGAGCCAGCGTTTTGTCCCAAGACAGTTTCCGTGGTCACGTGGCCAGCGTTACCTTTCCCACCGCGGTGGAACCTATTTATCGACTCGCATTTTTACATGCTTTCGAACGGCTAGGTTGGCAGGAGCTGGGACAAGCGATGGGGGCTCCCTCCATTGCGTGGATTCGATCTCACGACACCGACCTCACAATCACAGAGGCTTCTGCGTTTTAACCCGCAGCGCTGCCATGTCCCCTGCAGCACAATGAGTTACCAACTAAAATCAGAGTGTTTGTTTCTCTTTTGTTGCCTTTCATCCTTTCATTTCTTCCAAAACAATTTCTTCTTTTTCAGAGCCTCCAACCAACTATGGCCTTTTTGAAAATCTTGTTAAAAAATGGACTTCCAGGGAGCCTAGGGTGATGAGCAGCCTGTACACTGTCCACTACACCAAGCCTCCCTTGTCCTCTCATGCAGTCCGCCGGCGACCCATCACCACACAAATCCTGGAGGCCAGCCAGGCCCCGTGGCTGCCCAGGGACCCCGAGCATTGACTATGAGAGGCTGCCCCCGATCAACCATGGAGTAAATATTTCACTTTTTTCCGACCTGTTTCAGCAAGTTTAGCATTATTGGTCTAATTGCAAGAATCAAAAGGCGAGACACTACGGACTGCAGATCCAGCGGCTTGTTTTCCAAACTTCTGTGGCTCTTCATATGGAAAGCTTTCTCGTTCTTCATGTAGTTTTTATTATTATTATTTAAAATTTTTGCTCCGAAAGTCTCCTTGTGCCCTTTAGGAGATATTGCCGGGGATCCCCAGCATATTTGGTTCTCCACATATTTGTCGATTGGTTGGTTGGATAATTAATTGGATGATTAGTTGGGTTAGGGTTTATTTATTAACCCACCAGGGCAAGGGGTTGATGGTTGGAAAAAAAAGCTTTAAAAGAGTTTCAAGAGTCAGTGGGGTACATGAGTGGATGTAGGCATCCAAGGCCCTGTGTGTGCATGCGTGCATGCACATGTGTGTGCATACACTTGGATGTGAGGGGAGTATCCAGCTCTATTATACTGAAAGACTTCCAGAGAGGGGGAATAATACGGGTGCCTCCACACCCCTGAAAGCTGAACTCTTGCCAGCACCAAGCTGTTTTTGAAAAACTCACTTGTTTTTCTGTTAGCTGGATGTATGTATATAACATTGCACAAACTTCAAGAATACATGGGCTCAAGGAACAGAAGTAACATAATGTTAATTAGGCACAATCGTGTCAGTCCATTCCATTCATCTAAAGTAGTTCTTGGGGAGTTTTAGCAAACGCACAAGTGTCAAACTAAATAATCAGAGGGGAAATACTTAACATTGCGATAGGGAATCAGCTAAGAAATGGCAGAGTCCGACGTATAGTAAAAATAAATTCCATGAAACAATTTTTATTTACAATAGAGAAAGCCAATCACTAAAAAAAAATAGTGAAGGCAATGAGGCTTAGTAACCCGAGCAGAAAACAGGCTGGATTTGGGGGTCAAAGAATATGTGAGCTCTGAAGGAAAGTCAGAGTATTTATAGATTTTTTTAAAATGTTGATCAGCTGGTGATAGAAAATCAGCCCTGGCGGTTGCTTTGTGTTTGAGCGAGAAGTGGTTGACTGATGGGGGGGGAAGGAGCCAGCTTCTGGGGTTGTCCCTTGCGTGCCGTCACTTTGTGAACAGCAGTGAGCCCGAGAGGGGATCCCGTGGAGACCCTTTGGATGGCCGCTGTGGGTGTTGCCAACCTCTGCTCGGTCAAGCCTGGCATCCCTTTTTCCGTCTGGCAACACGGGCACAATATTTATGCAGCCATCTTAGGCCATTTCCTGGTGTATTGAATCATGGATAAAGAAGCACAATCTCCCACATTCATAAACCGGAGGGTGCTTTGTTTTTTTTGTAGAATAATTGAATGCTCTTGTTTTCTAAACCAGAAGTTTAAGTACACACAAACTGCACACAAATTCGAGCAACAAAACCATTTTTGTAGAATGACCCAGTGTTGGAGGATCCCAAAAGATGATCACAGGATTTGTAATAGGGTTGTTGAGGGGGGGGGGAGCAATAGCAACAATGGTTAAGACCCGGCTGTCGTCTCTCTGTGCCAAAATATTTTGAACAGCTGTTTTGAAATAGTGAAGCAAAAGTATGAATGAGTGCAGAACATATAACAGAGACACATACACACCTTTTACTTAAACTCACATTAGCATGACTGCTCTGCAGAATGTAAACCAGAAAGCTATCTTCCAGTTTCCGAGCCTTTGCTCTACAGACATGTTGCCTGTATGATTTCCAAAAGATGTCCCCTGGGCTCTTGGAATGGGAAAAAGAAAAGAAAAGAAAAAGAGAGGGGTGGGAGTTAGCAAAGATTGCCACTTGAAACCAAGGCTAAAATCATCCACCTAGGTAAAAGATGGAGTATGGAAAAAGACATGGAGAAAAAAAAATCATCTCATTCGAAATGTGGTGTTAGAGGCGAACCGTCATCAAGCTCAATCAAGTCAAGTCTGAACTCTCATTAGAGCAAAAATGGGTAAACTGAGGCTATGCTCCTTTATATAAATAATGGAAACACAGAAACTGACTGGAGAAAGCACTATTGCTGGGGAAAGTGGTGGGCGGACAGTATGAAAAGAGTAAGACCTAACGTGGGATGCATTGACTCAGTAAAGGAAGCCACAGCTGTTAGTTTGCAAATAAATAATAATAAAATCTTAGAACTGCAGAGCTGGAAGGGACCCCGTAGATCATTGAGTCAAGGAGGGCCAGTGGGGAACTGAACTCCCAACCTCTCACTCAGATGCTGAAACCACTGAACTACATATTGGAAAAGGCAATGTAGCTAGGAAGGGAGGGAGCAGTAGCAAGAGAGAACAGACTAAAATGAGATGCAGAATATTTGCTCTGTATTATTAAAAAATATATTCTTAAAATATTTTAAATATCTTTATTTTTAAAAAATATATATATTCTTTCTGTATCTCCATTTTTACAGCCAGACACAGAATCTGCTTGTAAGCATGAATATAATAAGCCTGTTGGGTCAGGAAGGAATTTAAAAAATCAAAAAAGTAGTTGAGAGTCGGCTAATTGGGTCCTGATTGACAGGGTCAAAAGTTCAGATTGCTCCAGCTGATTTCCCTTTTCAGAACCTATCTGAGGAGACTGTTTGGTCTCAAAAATCCTTAGAGAATGTTTACTGAAAGTGCTAGAACGAAATAAGTGCTATCTCTTTATCCAAGTTAAGGGGAACTATTTTGAATATGCTTTACAAAATAGTATGCTAATTCACTGAAGGTACATAGCAAAATGCCCCCTTTCTGGAGGACTGACACTCCATTGCTTCCTTCAAAGTAAACCTGTTTTCTTAAAGACTGTTTTTGTGACCTTTCGTTGCCCAGCAACTTTCTAAATCTCTCTCTGCTGCCCCATGAATGCATACAATGTGTTATTTCACAAAATTCTTCCTGTACGGCATGCTCAGTCTTATCACAAAGTTGCTGCTTTTCCCTTTTGAAATGTCTGTTCTGAAGACCAATATTTCAACCCCCGCAGGCAGGTGTCTTTCCAAATTTGCAATTCATGTGATCTATTTAGAATCTGGGGTCATTTGGGCTCGCCTGTTTCCGAATGGGGGAGGCATGATAGTTTTAAATTTTAAAAAATTTTAAATTTTAGAAAACTGTTTATCCAAACCAACCCAAATTTGTAACAGAGTAATAGCAGACTGTTTACAGCAGTGCCAAACCCGGTGATGATCTGAAGCCCAGTTTCAAAGTTATAATTTTTTGTTTGGGATGCCCTTGTTTTTAGAATTGCCATCTAGAAGGTTGATTAACTCTGGTGCATTATAACATTGATGCACTCTGGAGAAATTTAATGAAATCTACCCTCACTCTGCTCAAAGACAGATTGTCTTTTCCGATACAGAAGTTGCCTTTTAACTTCAAACACTGGTGTTTTGCCAAATTTAAAGTGGTGCCTGACTTCTTTAGTAAACAATTCAGAACACCTTAACCTTGAAATGCAGTGTCCTTTGCTGAATTTGGCTCAAAAATGAGTGATTCCACCCCACCCCATCCCCCGGAGGTAGGCTTCTAGCGCTAAGGCAGACACTAGACAGAAATGAAATAACGATTTCTTTTTCAGCTCAAGGAATGCAACTCAGTGTAAATGACAAATCCCCACAACACAGCACAGGAAGAACAAAGGTTATTGATCAACTGGCTGTAAACAGAGGTGGCTGGGATAAAAGAAGTCTGAGGAAAGTTAGATCTAAGCATGTGTTGAAGCCAGTTCTTCAGAAAAGAGAGTTTCCCCTTGGATAAAATGGAAGCTTGAACATGGTCAAACCTGTAACAAAAAGCTATTTGATAACCGCAGGAAACAAGGACGCTTAAAAGTTTCATTTAAATGAAAGGGGTGAGCCGTGTGGCCATTACAAAATATAAAAAGGTATCGCCTACCCTTGCATTAAAAGTTTCAATGTGCAAATCCCCAAGGAGGGCCAATTCAATGAAACTGCTCGAGTGTTGGAGAGTTTCTAAGAGAAACTTAGACAACCACCTGGCAGATCCGCTTTGATTTGGATTCCTGCATTGGGTTGGACTTGATGGCCTCGTAGGCCCCTTCCAACTTCACTTTTCTATGATTCGATGCTCAGAAAAATTCAAAGACAATCTCAGGGTTTGGAGAAAATGATTGGCTGCAATTCATAGAGACATGAAAACACATAGGACATTTTGGAAGGCACAGAAAAAGCGATATTACTTGGGTTCAACATTTCAAACAGCCCTCAGTTAAACAGCCAACTGGAAGAATTGGAAAAGTACAAAGTTGGAAACACACTGGGATTTTAGACAGAGGACCACGCAGGTAGATTTGGTTTGTCATGAGGGATCTGAGGGAAATGAGAGAAGGGAAGGTGATTTTGAGATGCCAGTAAACCCTGAAGAATCTGATCCAGTTATGATAGGAAAAGGTGCCATGGCCCCAATTGCCAAGCGGAGGGGGTCAGCACAGATTCCTCTGAGGAAACACAGGAACTCATTGATAAGTCAAATTTAAAAAAAGAAAACAAAATGGAATAGGCTTCAAGACCAGCCAAACAGCGGCAGTGAGACTCTAGAGGGATCCTACACAGCAAGTCTGGAAAACTACGGAAACCAAACCTGAGGGGGAAACATCCCACAAGAGCTGAAGGCCCTTGTCTGGGGAATTGACAGCTGGTGGAAATCCAGGTTAGACTCCAATTCAGAACTCTTAGAGACGTTGGGAAAGCCCAAGAAGCAGAGGTGTGGCAGAGTATGGAGCAGAGCTTTGTGTGGAAAAACAAAGATATCCTGTAGGGATTCAGGGCTCCTTGGGTGTGGGGAGGAGAATCTAGGAATTATGGAGCAGTGTGGGGCAACTGTAGGTTTCTGACAGGGATTTCCCTTGGGGATTACTGCTCCGAACACATGGCAATTAGTAAAACTGAAAGAAAATTCACGTTAAACTGCCCAAGAGGTATGAAAATCCTGTCAATCCTGCAAAACAGGTCTGTTCATGGGGAAGAAGGGGCACGTAAGCAAGTCCCGAAGCAAACAGGACCTGAACGCTGAGGTAAACTTTATTCTCCATCCAGCCTCTATGGAAAATTGATAAGAAAACGTCCTTGAAGGGACAGATTCAAGAAATCAGAATTGGATCCTCCACATGATTTTAACAGGGGATCTCTTCCACAAACCGTCATCAAACCATCGA